TTTCTAGTTCACGTTAAAATAAGTTTACCCAATAAATTCTTATTCCTTGACTTTCTTGGAAATTTTACCAGTTTCAAATCATCTAAAGATAATATAAGTTTGTAGCTTATTTTGTGTAAACCTTGTAACAACAGAAAAATGAACTTCCCGTTATTGATTATTTTCTATTTTTTATCCCTCCAACAATATCAAATAAATAAATCTTTATTATATCGCAGGAAAATTTGCTTGCGGGAACATCGAATGGGTTCTAATCTTTAATAAAAGTCATTTGACATATTAACATGACCATTATTTACATTGGTTTGAATCAATAATTAAAAATTATCACACAATCATAAAAACGGTTTTAAAATAATAACCTTAATATTAATTAGTAAAGTACAAAATCCGCAAGCAATGGTAAATAATAAATTAATAAATCCGTACATATAAATATTATTATTATTAAATAAATAAATAAATAAATAAATAATAAAGATAATATCTATAATTAAAATTTATTTAATTAAAAATAATTCACGTTAGAGGCCTGCACGGGTCATCATAATTGAATGATTACCCAACCCAACCCGTATAAATTTATAACGAATCCGACTTGTGCACGAAAAATTATAAAAATCTCAACCCGTACACAAAAGATTTCAATCCAAACCCGAACCCAACCCGTTTTTATTAAACCACAATTTATTTAAAAAAAATGCTTACAAGAATACTATCAATTGTTTGTGGATTTAAATCTGAAGGGAGCTCGTTAAATGTAAGTCCGGCCATACTAGACTCTCTTTCGCTAGGTGCACCGGAACATGGAATTGAAAGATAATATTGAAAGTCTTGGATAAATATGTTGATAATATTGCTTGCATAAAATTATCATCATCATCATCATCATCATCATTATTACTGTCAGCACCAACACCATCATGGTTCGGAAAAATGTGTGTGAATATATACATGTGTGTACATTTGTATATAATCTATATATATATTTAATGAGTATTTGATTCAAAAAAGTGTGTTAATATTTTATATTTTATCATTAAAATTTTATTTTTATTTTTACAATCTCAATATAATCTCTCTAAATATGCCAACCCGCCATTAAAATATGCTGGATATTTTTGGCGGAAAATTACATTATTGGTCCCTAATCGATGATTTTATCATGTATTAGTATCACGTTATCAATATTAATGCAAGAAATGTTCGAATTTAATAGTAATTAGTGTGTGTGAGTGAACTGAATTTATACTTGGCAAAAGAAAAAACTTAACTCTGGGGGAATAACTCATGAAACAAAGTAGAGATTAGGATATGCAAGAAAAAAAGACCTTGGAAATATATTTACAAGTTTTCTTTGTAAGCTTTTATATTTTATTCACCTTTAAGGCAATTTTACTTGCATCATTTTGACTTAATGGCAGCGAATTTGACGTAATAGTTTACATTTCGTCAAACAACATTAAAGGAAACGCACAAACAAAAGAGGGTAGAATGGGCCCAAAATCACATTAACGATAATTAGAACCGCACACTCTTTACTGATGAAACATCCTTCTGGTTGTTTGGAACACTGTAGAGTATTGGTACAAAGGTGCACGACCAGTTCATCTTATTCCAAAAAATCAAAACAAGAATTAATGCATGAGGTGGGTTTTGTGCTAAAGGCAAAACCGGTCTTTTTTGCTTCCGTGATAATATGACTGGCCCATTGTATGTTGAAATCACCTTCCTGAAGCTAATCAGATGCTTGGTAGAAATTGGCAGCTCCAACAAAAATCATGTATTTTTCCGCAAAAATATCCGCAAATTTGCGCAGCATCGTGAAAATATCCAATTTTATTGGTGGGT